CGTCTCGTCGCCGGGCCCCGCGCCCGCGCCGCGCGCGACCGCCTCGTCGGACGGCGGCGAGGAGGCGTGCTGCGGCGCGGGCGGCGGCGCGCCGTGCGACGCGAGCTGCGGGGCGCGGCCGGGGTCGAGGGTCAGCGACCCCTGCTCGGCGGGGGGGCCGCTGCCAGAGGGCGTGCCGGCGGGCGGCGCCTTGGACCGCATCTATTCGCTGGTGAGCTTTAGCCGACGTCTCTGCTGCTTTAGCCGACCGGCATTTTCAGGCGCTTCTTGCACGGTGCAGGGCGAAAGCTGTGGGCATTGCTCCTTCGCGCTCTGCCCCGGAAGGCACACACGCTGGTAATTCGCGGCATGCACCACCCCCTTGCGCGAAAGGATACGCCGCACAGGGGTTCGGGGCGCCGTCAAGGATCCCGCTGACCGCCACGTGCAGAACACGCCCCTCCCCCCTTGACGCCTCCGCGTCGCCGCTGTCACTGCCGTCACCGCCGCACCGCAGGTGGCCAAGTTCATGTACGTCATCAAGCACGTGTCCCTGCTCAACCCAGGTGCGCCCGCGCATCATCAGGCGGCCACGCCCCCCACATCATCTCCCGTGCATCCTTTTTCGCCCCAGCCGCTCGTCCGAGACTGTTCCCCTTGACGTACAGATGGGCTTCACCTGCGCGGGCCGACCCGGGTGGCGCGCGACGGTCAGCCAAGCACGCCCCGGGGGCCGCTGCGCCCTCTGCCCAACCCCTGCCGAACCTCACCCCGCCACGCCGAATTCAAATCTGAAACTCTGCCGTTTCAGGCGCCATGTACCAGCTGATCGGCATCAACCTGGAGACGGGCAACCCCCAGGCCGCCTCTGATGAGTTCTGGCAGGCCGTGGTGGGGCAGCTGCGGCTCACGCCAAAGCAGGTGCGCACGCGTGCCAGCTCGGCGCAGTGCGAGCTGTGTGTGTGTGTGTGGGGGGGGGGAGGGGGCTGCGCGTGCGCGTGCGCGTGCGCAGGTGTTGAAAGGCAGCCCGCAGTGCTGATATCGTGTATGTGGCTCAAAGGCGGACGCGGCCTTCCCCCTGAGGGTTGTGCAAGCAACAGGCCTCGCTGGCTCGTCGCTTTGGCGCGGCCGCGCCTGGAGCGCTCTGCTCCCGGCCGCCCCTTTGCAGCCGCGCCCCGCTGAGCTGGCTCTACCCGTGGCCCCCGCAGGTCGACGACGCGTGCGCCGCGTTTGAGCTGTACACATACCAGGCCTCAAAGTGAGAGGGCCTGCCGCGGGACATTTGTCGACCACACAGGGGTTTGGGGCCCGACAGCTGGGCTTGCATGTTGTGCGCCCCCCCCCCCTTTGCGGGGGCAACTTGCCCCGCTCTACCAGCTGCCTGGTTTGGGGCCGTGGATCGGTGTTCTGAGTTGCCCCACGCTCACTAGCAGGGGTGGAACGGCCGGCGTGCGCAAGCGCTCGCGCCCCTTGTGCAGCATCCGGCAACACCTCACTACAGGGTTTACTACCCTGCGCTGCCCCAAAACCCCGCCCTCCAACCCTGCTGCACCTGCCCCTCTGCCCCAGGGTGCTGGCGGAGCGGCAGGAGCTGCACAACCGCCTCATGGGCCGCCCTTCGGACGCGCCCGCGCACGACACTGCAAACAGGTGAGCGGCGGGCACGACGGCGACGCCCCGGACAGCTCGCCCACGCCGCCGCCCGGCCGTGCTGCGACTCGCTTGAATCAAATTTGATCGGCAGCACTCCAAAGTCCCATACTGCTGCAAATACCCACGCGTGTGTCGCGCCTGACCCCACGCCGGCAGCCCCACATCCCCTCCCGCCCCGCCAGCGCCGCTTCACTGAGCCGCAACCCTTCATCACCCCCTGCTGGCCGCCCTCCAGCGTCGCCGGGCTGGCGGGGTCGAGCCCGCGCTGCTCTTCACTGGACGGGCCCGTGTGTCGGCTGGAAGTCCTGGAGGCGCTGGCGCGCAACCTCAAGAAGGAGCACTCCATGAGGTGCGGTATGATACGATATGACGTAACGCGACACCACACCATCCCTTGTACCAGAAACATGCATGTTTTTTTCGCTCAAACGGCTGTAGTCGGCCACCACTTTTGCGTTGGTTAGCGTCGGGAGTCGAGGGCGCACGGCGGCGTGTTGGGCCGGCGCTGCAGTGTGTCGAGTTTTCGCGGCCTGGGCGCAGCTCTGCGCGGCCATTGGGTCGTTGGCCGAGCTGCTCCTTGGGCCGACGCCATGGCGCCACCCACACACCGCCACCCACACGTTGCCCCTCCAACCTACCCCCCCTTTAACCCCCCCCCCCCCCTCCCAGGCTGATGCTCAATTGCTTCTTCTACAACCGCGTGCTGACGGGGCTGCAGCTGTCGCAGGCCGCCGTCTTCTCCTTCCCTCTCTTCCCAGACGTGAGGCGACGACAGCCAGCCCGCAGCCCGACCTGCGTTGCGGGCGCAAGCCCGCTTACATGCTTCGCAACATGTACAGGCACAATGAATCTAGGATTATGTGATCAGATGCGGGCGCCCTTGGCCATGCTCGTCTGGCCTGCTCCGCAGAGTTCCTTTCAGTCCGCCTCTCAGCACGGGCACGATCCGCCTGCCACGCAATGCATCCACGGCCACCCCCGCCTGACGCCCAAACCGCCGACCCGCGCACCCCCCTCCCCCCAGGTCTATGCCATGATGTGCGTCATCGCTGAGGACGGCGCCGCGCGCTCCCCCGCCGGCCAGCGGCGCCTCGTCTTCGCCCACCACGCCCAGGAGCTCCGGGACGCCGCCTCCAGCGCCGCCCGCGCGCGCGCCGCGCGCCTCGCCGGCGGCGGCGGCAGCGGCAGCGGAGGGTCCGGGTCGTTCGCGGGCAGCTTGGGCTCGGGCAGCTTCGGGGCGGCCGCCGGCGTCGCGGCGGCCGCGGCGGCGGCGAGCCTCGAGGCCGGGATAAAGCACGAGATGGAGCAGCTGTGAATGAGACGAGGCGCCCGGTGATCGGCGAAGGCGACCTGGCGAGCCGTGCACTCTATGTATGTGGGGTTGCTGTTCATTCAGAGTGGTGAAGGTCTGGTGAAGGTCTGGTTGCGGGCGGGGGAAAACACTGTGGATGGGTTGTTGAAGAAAGACTTACGCCTGATATTTGGAGACGTTGCCGGAGACATTTCCTCGCACGCACGGCTCTGCGGCTCAACGCAGCGCCCGCCGGGGCGGGCGGCGGCGCGGACGCCGCCGCGAAGGGCGCGGCATCTCTGCGCGGGCGGCGGCGCCCCTCTGTTGGGCGATTGGCTTCCTATTCGTAGGGGATTGCAGGGAGGAGGGCGCCGGTTCATGCCGGCGCTGGCCCTGGGGCCCCGCCGCGCCGTGCCATATCGCTGGGCCGCCCATGGGACCCCACTTTGTTGCAATGTCGCGTCTGCCGCACTGCACCCACGGCCAGCCCGGGGCCGGCAGAAGGTGTGCCCGGCGTTGCCACCGCCGCTCTTTCCTCTGCGCCAGCCCGCCCTCTACCCTGCCACCTCGCACCCCTGGCCCTGTCTCTCGCGCCGCCGCCATGCACTGCCGCACTGCTTTCGGCGACAGCGGCGCCTATACCTGCGCCCGCTTGAGCTGTTGCCCCCAGGTCAACACTGGTCAACATTGGTCAACACTGGACCCCTGCACCAACCCCACTCGCGCGCGCGCGCGACCGGCCGCCCTCGCCTTGCGGCACGCGCGGCGCTGCCCGCCGCGACGCCAGCTGAAACCAAAGCCGGCGCGCCAGCCAGCCCGCCCCCTCCGCTCAGGGGGGCGCGCGCGGCCGCGGCCGTCGCCGCCCATCCTTTTGTCGCACGGTTGCTCCCGCGCCCTCCCCGGGGGGCGCCGTTTTGTGGGGCGTCCGGCCCTTCCCCGCTCCCCCGCACCACACAAATGTGCACATACACATGTATGCGCGCTCGCGCGCGCATGACACGCGGCCGGCATGGCCGCCGGGCGCATCAGGGTTTTGGGCGCCGCGCGCACCTACCCGCGCGCACACCAGCAGACGGCGCCGCCGAGGCGCCGCAGGTTTTCTCAGGCCGACACGCGCTCCCCTCCTTGCCGCTCCCTCTGTTACACCGCACTGCACGCCGCGGGCGCCGCACCACCCGCGCGCCCCGGCCGGGCGCCCTTGCCCGCCCTCCTCCGAGCACGCGCCCCGCCCCTCTTCCCTGCACCTGGCGAGCGGCGGAGGCCGCCTGCCGGCCCCGCTCTTGGCGTGGTGGGCAAGAGGTGGGGAGGGGGCGGTCGTTTCGCAGTCCGCGCGCATCTGTTGCCCGGGCGCGCCCCAGCGTCGGCTCGGCCCGGCGGCTGGGGCCTAGGTTTTGGCGAAGACACACCTCTGAAGATGCCTTGAAGATCCTTTGAAGAGTCCCGAGCTGATGGCGCCGCGCCGCATCACTTCCGCCCCCGCCCCCGTGCGCGCAAGAGACGCGTCGCCGCCGCCGCAGCCGCCGCGTCCTGAAAGCAGCGCGCGCGCGAGAGCGGCGCCGCCCTCCGCCGGCGCGGCGCGCGGGACCCCTCATTCCCCCCGATCGCACTGTTTGGCGCCGGCGCACGCGCACGCGCGCGCAAGACTGCACGCGCACGCGGGCGGTGGCTGGCGATTAGCACCGACCTTTTCCTGCAACCAGGGCTCAAACGGCGCGGCTCCGGCCTGCCCAACATATATACACGCTCCCCGCGCCACAATAGGGAAGGGGGATGGGTGCGCACGCCGCGGCCCCCGCGGCCCCATATTGCCCCCACTTAAGTTACTGCACTTTTGAAACTCATTTGCATTGCGCTCCCGGGCGGCACCCACCCAGCAGGGCCCCCCGCACCATCACATACCCATGTACACCCCATCAGCCCGCAGGGCAATTGCGTGGCTGTACATTCTTACGCAAATGCATGCACGTGTAATCTCGTCATTTCTGGATTTGGACTGCAGCCGAGCCACTGCAAGCGCCACGGAGGAAGGGTTTGGGGTGGAGGTTGACACCGCCACCCGTCACATGCTCAGAGGTCACCCAGGCGCCGCTGCTTGCTGCTGACTCATCATCGTCATCGATCGCATCTTGTAGATGGTTACCAGAAAGCACGGCAGTAACACCAATCTGCGCCAGGCAAAGCTGATAGGCCCGAGCAGCAGGGACTACAGCAGCACAGCGGGTTTGCATACAAGTCCAGGGCAGTGTATGCATGGCCATGCTTGCGCAGCACGGGCCCGCGAGCAGCGAGGCATCCACAGCATGTCTCTGCTGTAGCACCCGGTCGTATCACATAATGTAAGGGAATGTGCGACATCGCATTCGCAATTGGCGGGGGCACAGCACCCAGTGTGATCGAGCGGCAGACACATTAGTCATGGGAGCAGGGCTGCTAGGCTACATTGACAGGGGGACCAGCAAACGTGGCGGCAGCAAATGAGAGATGCGCAGATTCGGGCGCGGCTTGAGGGTGACGTGTGGCCGCAGACAAGGGATGAGACAGCTGCAACGATAAAAAACAAACACATCCAGGCGGCGCGGCTGCAAACCAACCCTCCCGCGCGCCGTCCGACGCCGTTGCCGTTGCCGCCGCCGCCGCCGCCGCCGCGCGGCCGCCCAGTTGAGTCACCGGCGCGCGCGGCCTGGGCGCGCCTTGGGCCGGAGGGGCGGGGCGCAGGAGCCCGCGCGTGGACAAATGGCGGTCCAGTGGATTTGGGGGGGGGGCGTCTGCATCACAGCATCACAGCACCACGTACTCGCTGAGCTTCCAGTCGCCGCCATAGACCGGCAGCGGCCGGAAGACACGCGCCTGGATGCGCTTGTCTGCGCCGGCTGCGTCCTTAGCCACAAAATCCACCCAATAGTTGGTGCCCGCCACGACCTGGGATGAGTTTCGGGTGGGTCGGGTCAAAGTCGGGAGGTTCGAGGGCTTGGTTGAGGTGAGGAGTGCTTGAAAGTGTTGGATTGAAAGAAGGATGGAACTTGAAAGGAGGGGTTTGGAAGTGGGTTCGAACGGAAGGTGCCAGGTTTTAGGGGGGGGGAGGTCTTGGTGCACATTGCTGGGTGGCGACGCATGCTGACGTGGGCATGGCAGTGAGTGCAGTCTTGGTGCGCCCGGCTGCCAGATATGGCAAACAGTCTCGACACCAACAGGCGGTCTTGGGAAGCCGCACCTGGGTGGCATAGGTGGTGACGGCCTTGAGCTTGAGGGGGCCACCCGTGACGCCCTTCGCGGCGTTGATCTGGGCCAACGCGACCTCGGCCGCCCGCGTCGCGTCCGCGTCCGCCGGCCGGCAGAACAGGCCGCCCGGCCGCCCCGCCACCGGGCACGTGAACAGCGGCGCTTTCGCCGCCGCCGTCGGCAGCCGCGCGGCCGGCGCAGGCGCGGTCTTGGCGGCGGGCGCGGCGGGCGCCACGGGCGCGGCGGTGGCGCCGAGCAGCGCGGCTTGCGGCGCGAGGGCCCACGCGGTGAGTGATTGTTGCCGCTGCAGATTTTGGTAGACCTTGGCCTGCACCACCGCCGCGTGACCGTCGGGTGTCGTGACCACAAACGTCAAAAAGTAGTTGAGCCCCGCGACCACCTGGGTCGCGTACGGCCGAGTCGTCGTGATGAACGTGGCCGGGCCCCTCGCGAACGCGCCGGCCGCGTTGATCTGTCTAAGAGCAAACGTCGCCGCCCGCTCCGCGTCGGGGTTGGGCCCGGCGCCCGCGCACGCGACGCCGCCTGCGGCGCCGGGCGCGCCGCAGGCATACAGCGGGCCGGCCGGCGCGGCCTTCGCGGACGCGGACGCGGCGAGCGCCGAGGTCGGGACGCGGCGGCTGCCCAGCAGCTTCAGGCCGCCCTGGGGCTGCACGAGCACCTCAGCCTGAAGCACGCCGTGGCCCCCTTTGGCATCCGCAAACGCGAAGGTCACAAACCGCCGTATGCTGTTGCTCGCGACCTGGGTCCCATAGTTCAAGACAGACGAGACTGTGAGGGGCCCATTTCGCGGGGAGGGGCCGCCCAGGGCTTTGAGCGCGAAGGCGGCGGCGGCGGCGGCGTTGGGGTCGGGCACGTTGCAGGAGATGCCGCCGGCGACGACGACGCCGGGGGCGCGCGTGGAGAGCTGGGAGACGGGGCAGTCGAAGAGCGACTTGTCGGCGGCGCGGGCTGCGGCGATGGGGTTCGGTCGTGAGGGGAGTGGGGGGTGGGAGGGGTGTGGGGGTGAGTCAGGGGACAGTTGGTGTGAGAAAGGGTGAGAGCGGGCGGGAATGCCTGAGTAGGACCACTGGCGGAGGAACCAGCTACTGAGCACCGCAGCCAATCTCAAGCCCGACGGTCTCGCGGTGGGGTGCCAGCATCAGCTGCAGCAGCAGACGGGCTCGAAGGCAGCGACTCGGGGCCCCCCTCCCGAGTCAGCAGCGGGCGGCGCTGGGTTCGACCGCATCCAACGGCAGCATCAAGGGTGTGGCACCCAACATGCATGAAGTGTTGAACTCACCGACACACGCTAAAGCCAAGAGCACTGCCACTGCGAGCGGCTGGGCCATGCTTGTATCAATCCAATGACGTTGTCGCGTTCGGCGCTAGTATCATGAATGCGGCGAACTCATACGCTTCAACTCCTTGTTTTGCGAAGACGGCACTCGCTCACTCCCAGTGTTCAGCTTCACTTCGCATGGCAGCTGCTGCTGCCACTGTTGACAGCTGGTGCCTCTCACAAAGCACCGACACATGCACAACGACCCTGGCGGCGCTCTTCTTTGCACCTGCGTGTTCATCAATATGCTGTACAGTGTTTCACCAAGCATTTTGCCCGTCTCCTGCACGTGGCTAGTTTGAGTTTTTGCAAGCCGGCAGGCGCACCCAGAAGTGAGCAAGGTGCCTCACTTCGCAAGTGGCCGCACGGCCCCCAGAGCTCATGGCACCTAGCCCCAGCATCCCCCAACGCCAGAGGGTTGTGTGCACCATGGTGCTTTTGGACGCGGCAGGAGGGACGCGGCGTCAACAGCGGCTTCCGAACTGACCAGGTCGCAGGACGCGTGCGATCGGCGCGCACGCATGGGGTGCGCTCACACGTGCATGCGGGCGTTGTGCGCTCTTGGAAAGCCTCAGTTTGCTCACTTGTAGCCACCTGCGAGCTGGCGCCAAACTTGGCAGGCCCGGGTGAAACAGGGAAGCGCAGACGCCGACGTGCGTTGTTACACTGAAGGGGGCGGCTTCCCCTTGGCGGCACCAAAAAAGGCGGTCAAGCTCATCTGCTTACCTGCAGAGCCCTTGCCGCCGCCCCGGCCGCTGCCGCCCTTGCCCCCTCGGCCCACAGAGCCCTTCCGCTTGCCACCCGTCGCCGCCTTGGGATTGGCTCCGTTGCGTTTGCTGGGCAGCAGCTGCTGCTTCTGCGGCTCCTGCTGCTGCTCCTCCTCCTGCTGCTGCTGCTCCTCCTCCGGCTGCTGCTGCTGCTGCTCCTCCTCCTCCTGCTGCTGCTCCTCCTGCTGCTGCTGCTGCTGCTGCTGCTGCTCCTCCGGCTGCTGCTGCTGCTGCTGCTGCTGCCCGATTTCGACGTCGCTGCCCGTCAGTCGCTTATGTGCCCCCTCGCGCAAATCCCCATCCGACCCTCTTTCTCTCTTCCCTGCCTGGCCGCCTCCATCCCCATGCTCCCCCTGCGGGGGCGGCGACGCCGCCCCCAGCCTGCCCTCCCTGTCGCCCGCACGCCCCCCGTCACCCGGCGCAGCGCCCGCACTCGCGCCAGCGCCAGCCGCAGCCGGCGCCGCCCCGACGGTGTCGCCCGCCCGCCGCCGCTTGGCCGGCGGCGCCCCTTCTTCAGATTTTGAACGGCTGCGAGCGCTCTCCTCGACCGGGCCGTGCGCCTGCGGCCCCTTTCCAAGCTCAGGCGCCCCCACGCTCGCTGCCGGCCCGTCCCCTGCCGCCGCCGCCGCCGCCGCCGCCGGGGCGATCGCGCTTGCCGCGGCGCCGGCGGCCCTCCCTCCTGCCCCCACGCGGCCCGGCCGCGCGCCAAACATTGACTTGATTGACCGCTGATTTGGGTCCACAAAACGGCGCTGCAGCTGCGCAAGGGTATGTGAGATCATACGGCAGTCAATCTCCAGCGGCGGCCCACAGTTTTACTGGTACTGTCGCTCGACACACAAACGCGGCGTGCCATGGGAGCGCGACCAACCGGGACTTTCGTTTGACTGAGGCTCCCTCCCTGCCATTCCTCCCTTGCACGGCAGCAGCTGCCTTAAGCCCAAGGTCGCGCCGATCCGCAGTCGTCCCCGTGCGCCCCGGCTGCCCCCTCTGCCCGCTCTCACCTGCAGCCACTCCCTGCAAGGCGGCCGCTGCGGCGCGGGGGGGTCCAGCCGGATGTCGCAGGTGACGGGGGCGTGGTCGCTCCAGGAGTGGGGCAGGTCGTACCTGGGGGAGGGGGTGAGAGTGTGTGTGTGTGGGGGGGGGTTATGTGTGAGCAAGGGGGGGCCACGGTTGTGTGTGGGGAGGGGTGTGGTGAGTGTGTGTGCGTGTAGAGAGGTCGTGTGTGGATGAATGAATGGGTGGCTTGGTTTGCGGGTTAGAGACCAGGCCGTCCGACCCTCCCACCACCACCACAGCCACCAGTGCCTGGACCCTGGCGCATGGCCCTGGCTGCGGAGCATGAATGGGGCGGCCCCGCCTCCTCAACTTCCCGACCGCCCGGCCCCCACCTGATCTCACACGCTTCTAATCTGTCCAGCAGGCCGGGCGACAGCATCACAAAGTCGATGCGGCAGCCCTGGGTCGCGTTTCCCGAGGCAGACGCGCACAGGGGCCGGGCGGTGAGCGCTCCGAGGTTGGGGGCGTTCGGGTCCGCGGCCGCGTAGCCGTTGCCCTGCGTGTCCCCCTGAGGCTCAAGCCACAGCAGGGGCGCGTCTTCACGACAGGGCGGACACTGGGGCATGCAAGGAGATCAGCCATGCAACTCCTCGGTTTGAAGAAAGCCAGCCAGTCTGCTGCAGGTATGCGGCAGGGTCGTCTCCGCGTTCGACCCCATTTGGAGTCGAGCGCCGGCCGCCTGCATCGATGCGAAACGGGAGCGAGGGCACCGGGCCTACCCGGTTGAAGGGGCGGGCGCTGGTCTTGGTGTCCCACACTGTGAACTTGTCGCAGTCATCGGGGTGCAGGCGCCGCCACGCGTCAGGGTAGGCGGCCATGAGGCCTGACGGGTTTTGTTCAGGGGAGGGGTGAGGTGCGGGTGCGCATTCAGTGTGTCTGTGTGCACGTGTGCGCACGCGCCTGAGGGCTCTAGCCTGCAGGGGAATCCACTCTTGACAGATTGTAAGCTTCTGTGCACACACGAGCTGCCGCCGGCACAACCTTTGCCTAGACCTGGGTCGCACAGCTGAGCAGATGCATAGCCTGTCGCAGCAGGCCCCTCCACCACCACGCTCCCACCCCCACACACAGACCGGCCGCCCCTCCCTCCCAACCCCGGCTCCAGGTATCGAGCCACGCCCCACGCCTCACCCCTCATGGCCGCCAATTCATCGCCCTCGTAGCACCCCTCCAGCGGCCCCGCCCCAGGGTACAGGTCAGCCTGGTGGGGGGCCACATTGAAATCACCCACCGCAATGACCTGGCGGGGTGGGCGGGGCGACGGGTGACGCGTACCGTCGGCGAGCGAGTGCGGGTAAGGGGGTGGGGCACAGGGGGGGGCTCGGTGTGAAGGGGTCAGAGTGGGATCGCGGGCGGCGTGGGCGCCGCAGTACAAGCGGCAGTTGGGGGAGCGCCTGCCACGCCACGCTCGCGCCACTCGGGAAGCCGGTCGAGACGGGCGCGAGGCAGGGGAGGGGGAGCAATCGCTGCAAGATCGCCGCAGTTGCAGCGCGCGCCGGTGCGGGTCGGGTGCGACACGCAGCGCTGGTGCGCCCGCTTGCGCGGCGCGGCGGCCGCGCTGTGGGGTTTTGGCATGGTGCCGAAAGCCTGGGTCTGTGCCTCATTATGCAGGTGTTTGCGTGCATCTGTGCAATCATATAATTGTATGCATGTAAACGAGTGTGTATGTGCATATATATGCCTACTATATATACATAGGTACTATATATATACAGGTACAATATATATATACAGGCACTATATATATACAGGTACATACTATATATGTACGTAAGCGCACCTGCTTGCCCTGGGCTGACAGCTCGTCCATCTTGTCCCTGAGCCGCCCCAGGAACCGCAGCTTGTATTCCAGCCGTTCGCGCGCAGGGCGGTCCCCGGCATTGGGCACGTAACTGGGGGGTGCAGAGGGCAGGCGGCGCGGGCGCGGGGGCGGACGCAGGCGCCCAGGGCGGGGATGAGGGGGGGGGCGCGGGCGGGGGGCTTGAGCCAACGGGCAGGGCGTTGGCGCGTGTTGAATTATTGGGGGGAGGGCGGGAATGCCGAGAGCCGCGATGCACGCAGGGGCCGGGGGTGGTGTTCGCCTTGCGCCCTGTTGGGCCGCAAAGGGACCACGCTGCAGCTGCGCGGTGTGGGCCGCCCCAAGCAAGTTTAAATTGACAAAACAACAAATGGGCCTCATTGGCCGGATCAGAGCCACCAAAATCTTGCTCCGACAGGCCCCAACGCACGCCGCCCGTGTCTTCGCGCCGGCCGCACTCACACGTTGACGACGGCGAAGGGCCCGTGGTCGGTCACGACAGCCCGGCCCTCGCTGCAGCCGAGGCCGTCGGCTTCTGCGGCGCGCGGCCCCCAGGGGGGCGCGGCGCACCAGGTTGTGACCCCGCTGTAGCCCTTTCGCTCGTCAGAGGTCGCCCAGTATGACTGGGGGCGATTGTAATGGATTCACACAAGTGAGGCGGGCAGGGGCGGCCGAGGGGACGACGGGGCGCCCTGCGCTCTGCTGCCCGCTCGAGGTCAATGCTGCCAGCGCAGCGGAGCGCAGCCAGGGTTTTGCTGCAACCGGGTGTTTGGCCGTTTGGCCACCGCACCTCGTACCCCTCGACGCAGGCGAGATCGCGCGTGATC